ATTGAGCGAGTGTGTCTGCGGCTGTCAAGGTGAGGATATCATAGGATAGGATTTACTGGCAGAAGATAAAAAGTGCCTCAAGCAAAACAAAGCAGGAACAAGCTGAACCGGCAGGTACACAGTCCACAGCGAGAAGCTGCACAATCACACACAAAACACAAGCCCGAAAAGAACCAGCACTGCTGGCACCCAGACGCGGCAGCGCCAGCCCAAGCGCGAAGCCGCGCAGACAAGCAGCCTAAGGGTCAAGCAATCAAGCAACAAGCAGCAGGAGCATGCAGGAGGAATAAAATCCCTTAGACGCGATACCCGGAGGCAGCCGACTGACCACTGTCAGTCGAGACGTCCGCGGCTGCCGCCACAAAGCGGGCGGCCGCGGACGGAGAAAGGGCAGCCGCCGACAAGGAGCCGGCGTTGCCCGGGGGTCCGCCTGGGGCAGCGGACGGAGGGAGGCTGGACACAGGAACACGGTACCGCTCGAGGTAGTCCTCCTCGCTAGCCTCCGAGTCAGCGGTAGCCAAGTCAGTGGTAGCCGCCCGTGACGGCGGCAACGCCGCGGCAATGCCCAAGGACCGGCGTGACCCGGCGACCGATGCCGGGGAGGAAGCAGGCGAGCTCGGACCAGCAGCAAGCACCCCAGTGGTGTCGAGCTCTCCGGAGGCACCCGACGTCACAGTGAGGGACGGAGACGCCTCGCCAGCTCCGCGCCCATCGTCGGGGCCACTCGAAGGGTGTCCCCCATCGGAGTCGGAGACCTCCGGCGAAGACTCCTCGGGCGACTCGACAAAGTCCGAGGAGGAGCTGTCCTCTGGCTCGAGAAGTGCTTGCGCCCGCAAGGGCGTCATGCGCCTCGCACCAGACAAGAGCGCTTCCAGCGTCAGCTGCATGGTGAGGCGCTGATAGGTGGCGGCGCGTTTGCGAGCCAAGACCTCAGCAGCAGGTCCGTCATCAGGCACAAAGTGCCGACCAAACGCCGCATCCTCAAGAGGCATTGAGCGCTGAGCAATGATGTCCGCCAAATACCAGATGAAGCGGAGGGTGTCAGGATGCAGGGTACCGTCCGTCGAGATGGCAAGAGGGATGAACGCTCGAGGAGGAGTAGTCATGGCATATGCAGCGCGATGTTTGCGAATCTTCTCAGACGCTGCAACATGGAGGGCGTCGAGGTTGACCTCCCCCCACTTGGTCAGGTCGGCAGAGCTACCAATGTAAGGGTGGACCAACGTCACGTCCGCCATCAAGCCCTCGTACTGCTCGGACCCTCGATCGCGGATTCCAGGGATGTGGATATCGCCCTTCATCTTGCGGCCATGAGGATGGGAGGGTACCTGCCGTCGAGAACGAGGATCCCCCACTGTATCGATGACGCTCTGAAGACCAGCTTCGTTCAGCATCGACCGAATCGTACGAGTAAGGTTGTCATGCGCCGTGGGAAGCTTGGAGGATCGGCGTTTGCAGGTCTGGAGATGATGTGCAGCAACGGAGGGATCGAGCTCGCGCTGACATCCATCACATTTCGTCGGACACTGGCAGATCGGCATGCCATGGAGATAGCAGTCGAGCATCTGAGCATAGCGGTGCGGTGCTGATCGGTCAGCGCAGCGCGAGCATGCACATCATGATGGCGAGGGAAGACGCGCATGACAAGAGGGGTCACATTTCGCTGCGCAGGGGGAGGAATGAAGTGCTCATGAGACGAGTCGACGAGAGCGCGCAAACCAGGGATGTGTACCACAGATGCCGGGGGGCGTCCTGCGTCATCAGGCACAGCAGCCGGGGCAGGTGGGATCGCCGCGCCATCTGCAGCCGGTGCAGGAGCCTTGACACGACGGTAGAGGATCGCTCCAGCATTATGAACGAAGTCGTGCGCCTCAACGAAGAAGGTCGCCAGAGGATGCTTCTGGGCACGGAGAGATCTCGAGCAGTGAACGTCGAGGGTGGTGACGCAGGGGATGCTGAAGGAGGAGGCGAGGAGGGAGAGGCCCGCCCAGACGACGGCGATGACGAACGCCGAGACCAGCAGGGTGTAGCATGGATGTATAGGATTTACTGGCGCGGTTTTTTAGCGGTGCTTGCTGCAGAGCATCACCGCCTGCCGGTCGCAGCGGGCGATCTCCCGCAGCTCGCCGGGGATGGCCCCGAACAGGTCGTAGAGGAACTGGCGGTTGAAGGGCGTCGCGTCGATCCAGACGAGCGCCTGGTGCACCGCCCGGTTCAGCAGGGTGGGGCTGGCGGGGGGCTGCAGCGGGGGCACGGACCCCCGGTAGGGGAGGTTGCTGAGCGGCCAGCTCCCGTCGACCAACGCGCGGGGGGTGGCGGCCAGCGCCGGCCCGTTTGTGTAAGGCAATGGATTTACTGGCAGAAGGTAAAAAGTGCCTCAAGCAGAACAAAGCAGGAACAAGCTAAACCTCCAGGCACACAGCACACAGCGAGAAGCGGCACAATCACACAGAGTGTGTAGTAGAGGGTATATAGGATGTACTGGCAGAAGGTAAAAAGTGCCTCAAGCAAAACAAAGCAGGAACTTGGCAAGCTGAACCGGCAGGCACACAGTCCACAGCGAGAAGCGGCACAATCACACACAAAACACAAGCCCGAAAAGAACCAGCACTGCTGGCACCCAGACGCGGCAGCGCCAGCCCAAGCGCGAAGCCGCGCAGACAAGCAGCCTAAGGGTCAAGCAATCCCAGCAGGGGATGTTGCCGAAGGTCTGCTGCACCTGGCTGTTCATGAAGACGCACGAGATCCCCGCCTGGTTGATGCACTGCTCGTGCGTCATGCAGGGGCTCTGCTGCGTCTGCGGCACGCTGCAGGAGCACTGCTTCCGGATCGGGTCGCACCCGTAGCGGTTGACGGATCGGCCCGGACCGGGTTGACGTCGGCGCCGAAGGGGCAGATGACGGCCGGATGTACCGACCGGCGCGGCTACCCAGCAGGGCTACTCGGCTCAAGGCGCCGGAAGTTTCCCGAATCGGCCTGGCCCAAGGCACACAGTGTCCGCTTCCGAGTGGCCCGAGGCCCGGGCCCGAGGCACTGCGGCACTGCCTCGGCCGGGCAGTGCCGGGCGGCCCGAGGCACTTGAAATGAGATGAGCGGGGATGTGGCCCTATCTGCATGGAGTCTTACGCGGCGGAGGCATGCAGGACTGTGGCTGCGCAGGTGAAGATGGAGGGGGAGGAGGGAAGAGGAAGAGGCGAGTGAGCGTAGAAGAGGGAGAGCAAGGGAGGTAAGGAGATGTAGGAGGAACAGAAATGTGGATGTTCGTAACGCAGGGACTCATTCTTTTTTTTCCAGCTCAGTGAAGCGATCGGCTTTCAGGCAGTGACACAGTCTGCGCTTGACACTCTGACGGAGGTGAGTTGAGAAGATGTTTCCATGGCAGTGAGGGTCTCTAAGAAGACGACAGATCTTGATCAAGTACATCGAGGAGGTTGGCTATCAATCGCACTCCCTGGCAGAGTTGGCTGGAAGGACTCAGGTTCGGCATCCCCTTTCATCCTTCCTGCTGGTATCAAGTGGGAGGGCAGGATAACCTGCTCGACGTTCGGAGCGCGCTTCAAGATGTTGGGACCACCTTGCCTGAGCTTTACTTGTTTGCCAGCTTCTGAAACATGCAACGCTGCTCACTCGCTGTAGGTTCATGCAACGTAACGAGCTCCGTTATGCCAAGGCAGAGGTGTGAATGACAGACGACAGTGACATGTATTCATCATTCTCAGGTCCGCTTCCCTGTCTCTCGACCACCTCGTCCTCGAGAGCGTTTCGGTAACTGAGCTCGAGGATGAGATGGGCGAAAGACTTGATTGGGTTCAAGGTCAAGAAGAGGCGGAGGAGCTGCCTCCTCACGTTCCTTCTTTTCTTCCTCCATTCCCGAGGTCAGTCCGACAGTCTCTCACCTGACCTCACGTGGAGCGACAGCAAGCATACCTACCTCGCCACCTCCAAGCCGCAGGGCGAGAGGTGATGGGCAACAACCTGAAGATCGTGTTTCATATGCTGCAGAGGTGACGCCAAGACCGCGAAGAAGCAGAAGCACAAGAGGAACAGGTGCAATACTTCTGATCTCCTTCGCCTATACGTGAGGTCTGGTGCAGGCAGCTGGAAGAAGCTCTGCAGAAGCTTGCGGACGCTCCGAAGAAGAAACGCAAAGTAAGTCGTTGAAGTGTGCAGGCGTCAGCATTTGAGCGGCTTCAGGCGCAAGAGACCTTCGGCGAGCCTGAAGCTGAGCAGCAGCGAGATGACGAGGGTGAGCATGGAATCGAGGGGCGATGGGTTGGTAAAGGTTGTCTTAATCAGGAATAGTGACGGAGAAAGAAGTCAGCGAAGAGAGCGTAATGTTCTTCTCTGCAAAACTTCTTGTTTTCACCTCCTCCGCAGGTAATGCAGAATCCAGCTCTGCAAGAAGCAGGTAATTTTTGGCATTTACTGTGATTCTTGGCTCTTTTTGTCTTCTCCTCTCGTCTCGGTGCGTGAGAGGAATGCTACAGCCAAGGTGAACGATGTACTTGCCGACGACGATGTCCGGAAGGTTCGTGGGGAGAAACATTATGCATGACAGCTGCTTACATGAAGTTACAGTCCATCGAAGCAGAACCGAATAATCAGGAGGCAGCAAACAAAGATGCAGAGAACACAAGCACAAGCCACAGACAGTGAGCTTCGCTCTTCAGCGGTCTATTAGCATCTTACTTGTCACAGATTCTCTCTCTCCCTCCCTGCTAGCGATGGAACAATGAGGGTCAGTCGCATTCTCGTGCCCTGGGCTGTTGGTGTGACTTGAAACAGGAGATGGAGGGAGGGACGCGAACAGGAGACGAACGTGACAAGGACAAGTAAGTGCCTGAGGTGCCGATGAACATCCTGACGTATCGATAGGAAAAGGCAGAAGGCTGCCAGGATTCTGGCAACAGTGCACACTGAACAGGTAAGGGACGAGGTTTGGAGACGAGGAAGGGAAAGAGGAACGATATTGGGGATTGGGTGCGAACGAGGAAGCAGAGAGGAGAAATCGAAGGAAGACAATCGAAGCTGTGATTCTCTGATGAGCTTCTGATCCATGGCCGTCGATACAGGAGAGGGAGGCAACCACGGGCAATGTGGATGCTGGGAGGTCACCAGCAGACATTGCAAGGACTCCAGAAGATCTTGACTGAACGAAGGAAGAGGCAAAGCAGGAGCAAGAACTTTAAATCTGATTACGTGTAAACAATCTCAAATTCTCTCAAACAAACTGCTGGATCTTGGCAAGGTCGTACTCGTAGGGACCTGACACTCCACTCATCCTCACGCACGCAACTTGTTGCAACGTACCTGCCGCTGGTGCCTGAAAGAACTTGGTGTTTGCCTGGGAGACGTCCTGCTTGCTGTCAGCTGCTTGAGCCATGAGCATCAGGCTGTTACCATGAGACCAGACTCTTCGCCTTCAGGATACGGATGGATGTCCGCTCCCATGCTCCCCTCCGAGAATCCCTCAAGCAGCTGCGTCATCATTGTCAGTGCTTTCGCCAATGACCTGGTCACCTTCTTCTCAAGCTCAGCTCCCCGCTCCCAAGATTTACATTACTAACACTCATGGCACAAGTATGCTGCCTGATTCCATTCTAACTCAGATTCTAAGTGATTCCATTCTAACTCAGATTCTAAGTGATTCCATTCTAACTCAGATTCTAAGTGATTCCATTCTAACTCAGATTCTAAGTGATTCCATTCTAACTCAGATTCTAAGTGATTCCATTCTAACTCAGATTCTAAGTGATTCCATTCTAACTCAGATTCTAAGTGATTCCATTCTAACTCAGATTCTAAGTGATTCCATTCTAACTCAGATTCTAAGTCTGCTGCAATCATTCACTCAATTCTGGTTTCTCGTGACTCTGTCCTGCCTCCTCCCAAGAGAATCTGATCACCAACATTTGAACCTGCATCCCTCGCATCCTCATCCCTCAGGTCAATCCTATCACCCGCACCCTTGCCCTCCAGCTCTTCCATACATCTCCTCTTCAGTTATCTGGTCTCGACAATCCGCTCTTTCCCCACATCATTTCTGGTTTGGTGCATTCCCTCTCTTCACTCCTCCTCCTCCTGCTCCCTTTTCTCCTGCTCCTTCTTTTCTTCCTCCTCCTCCTCCTCCTCCTGCTCCCTTTTCTCCTGCTCCTTCTTTTCCTCCTCCTCCTCCTCCTCCTCCTCCTCCTCCTCCTCCTCTCCTTACCATCTGCCCATTCACGATCTTCAATCCCTTTGCGAACAACATGGCGGCGACTCTTCACTACCCTACCTCATTCTGTGCTGTACCCTGGCAGTGACCCTCCGTATAGATGATAAATGCACCGGTACTGAAGACTTTAGACACCACCCCACCCACACCTACTCGATTTCAACGACCCTTGAGGGGTCAAGTTAGGAGCAGAGGGTGGTGGCAGTTGTTGTGGGGGTGGGGGTGATTTTTTTCTTTTTCTTTTTTCTTTTTTTCTTTCTTCTTCTTTTTTTCCCCATTCTGGAGGTTTGGTTTGAAATCCACGAACCGGAGCTAGGAAGGAGAACAAGAAGGGAAGAGGAGAGGAGAGGAGAGGAGAGGAGGAGCAGCGAAGAGAGCAGAGCAGAGCAGAGCAGAGCAGAGCAGAAGAGAACAGAAGAGAACAGAAGAGGAGCGAAGAGAAGAGAACAGAAGAAAAGAGCAGGTCAGGGCGGGCAGGGCAGGAGGAGAGGAGAGGAGAGGAGGGGGGAGGGAGACGAGCAGAGCAGAGGAGGACAGGACAGGACAGGACGGAGGCGGGGAGAGGACAAGAGAGGAGAAGAGAGTAGAGTAGAGTATCAAAGAATAGGGAAGGGAAGAGAAGAGAGACAGAGAGGAGAAGGGAGAATGTGAGAAATGTGTAGGACAAAGACGCGTGGAGGAGAGACATAAAGTAAAAGGCATCCAAGACTTGGTTGCAGGAAAGGAGCAAGGGAGGCAAACTGTAGAAAGAGCAGAGATAAGGGTACAAAAAGAGCGAGGAGGAAACAAGGAGAACGTAGCCATGATAGTGCGAAATCTTGAAGACACGACGAAGACTTCAATTGAATTGTGATTTAAGGGAACACAAGGTAAAGCTAGTAGGAAGTGAAAGTCAAGCTTTGGGAGCGAGACATGAGCAGGGAGGTGAATGGCAAAGCAATACAAGGCAATACTATTGCTTCAATTGTTTACTTAATCAAGTAGAGGGCAACAAATGTTCTCGTTCACTACATTTGATGCAGATGCCATCGCGCAAGAAGTCCAAGTCTTCTAAGACGAAGTCAGCGAGTCATCCACCAGCAAAGAAAAATGGGAACAAGACGAAGACATCAGCTAAGACAGCAGCCAAGACATCAGCTAAGACAGCAGCTAAGACAACAGCTAAGACATCAGCGAAGACATCAGCCAAGACAACAGCTAAGACAGCAGCTAAGACATCAGCGAAGACAGCAGCCAAGACAACAGCTAAGACAACAGCGAAGACATCAGCCAAGACAGCAGCTAAGACAGCAGCTAAGACAACAGCCAAGACAGATCCAAAGACAACAGTCAAGAGAACGTCTCGAGCCGCTCCAGCCAATCCTGTATCTATCGCTGCTTCTCAGGTGATGTCGACAGGAAAACGGAAGCAACCAAGCGAAGTCGAAAGTAATTCACGGAAGAGAGCCAAGGGGCCTCAAGACCAGAGGTCGACCTCCAAGTCGCCGCCCAGCCCCTCCAAGGCAGGACAGAGCAAGAAGTCGGAGCCGAGGAGCAAATCGAAGAGCACGGCAAGCAAGCAGGACCTGAAAGCTTCTCAAGACCCTCCAAAGGCAGCGGAAGCGCCCAAGAGAAGTCCAGCTGGACGTTCATCCAGAGACGCGGAGAAGTCAAAGGCATCGGGGATCACATCTAAGATGTCCAGCAAGACTCCAGCTGAAAGGCAGAGGAGCAAGGTGCCCTTGAAGAAGACGATCCAGAAGGCGAGAAGCAGCAGCGCTCACTCGCTCCCTCCTCCTCCTCAGGCAGGCAAGAACCTGCAGCTGAAGCCCAGCAGGCAGCGCAAAGCTGATGACAAGCTCACCCCACAGCTGGAGGAGCAGAAACCAACGCAGACCAAGAAGATCGCGAGCAAGTCAGGGAAGGAGACGAGCAAGGGTCCAGCAGGGAAGATTGAAGAGAACGAAAGCTCCAAGGCTGATGGAAGAAAGGAGGAAAGTGGAAGTCGAGAAGGAGAAATGCTTGGGGAGAGCGCGAAGGAGGAAGCGAAAGCTTTCTACAAGTACTCGCACTCGGGCTGCAAGTCGAAGACTCGCTTCGTTTGCTCGATGGATAGAAGGGGAAGGTCGGCCCCTCTTCTGATCTCTTGTGTCCTCATGTCTTTCTTCAGAGGAACGCGTGGAGCGAGGAGGAGAAGGAAGCTCTCATTGCAGGCGTCGAAAAGTTCGGCAGGTGCTGGGCGGCGATTCTGAGAGCCAACGCGGAAATCTTTCACCCTGCGAGGACACAGGTTGACTTGAAGGTCCGTTGCAGCTGGGGTCTTGCTGGTGCTGACGAGGGAGCAGGACAAGTGGAGAGGCCTGAGGCAGCCGCCCAAGGAGACGGTGAGAGGGTACGGGGCGAGCACGCACTTCCGAGCCAAAGTAGAGGGAGCGAGCCATGCGCGCGTGCGGTGGACGGAAAAGGTATGAGGAGGGGAAGAGGGGGGAGGAGATGAAAGGAGCACAGGAGGAGGAGATGCTCGCCAAGGGCGTGTCACAGTTCGGGCCCAAGTGGACTGCCATCCTTACCAACCTGCCTGGATTCCACGCATGCCGAACGTGAGATGGAGGGTAGAGACCGAGGTGGTGGTGGAGGGGGAGGGAAATTTGTTGGGGCGCGGCAGGCGATTCTGAGAATGAGGCAGGTCGGTTGACCTCAAGGATAAGTGGCGCAACATGGAGAAGATGAAAAGTAGGCAGCAATGAGAATGAATGAAGACCCTTGTAATCGGTCCTCCTCCTCCTCCTCCTCCTCCTCCTCCTCCTCCTCCTCCTCCTCTAGATCACTGCCAAAATTGCTTCCTTGAGGCGCCCCTTGATCGCCTCCACTACAAATTCCGTCGCTTCCTTGGTGCCTGTGACCGTCACCTGTTGATTGTCAACTCCCTCCCCTCCCTCCTCTCCTCTTCTCTTCTTGATCTTCTCCTCTTCTCTTCTTGATCTTCTCCTCTTCTCTTCTTGATCTCCTTCTCATCTCTTCTGGATCTTCTACTCTTCTCTTATTGATCTTCTTCTCTTCTCTTCTTGATCTTCTTCTCTTCTCTTATTGATCTTCTTGTCTTCTCGTATTGATCTTCTCCTCTTC